GGAGCTGAAACCCCTCAAGTTCATTACAATGGGAGCTCAAACTCTTCCAGGGTGATAAAGCCAGGCAGATGAATCCTTAAATCCTAGTAAATCCTCAAACTACACCAAACCCAAAATACTATTATATTCTGGTTATAAGATTCTCATACTGCAACTGTTTCACTCTGCTCCCCACAAAAGCGCCAAGATTTCAATATCTGCCTCTTCATATCCAGTGGGTAGGTGAGGTTAATAGGACCAAAGGGAAGTCAAAGGCTTCAAGGCTAACACTTGCTTTGACTCTGGGGCACTGGGATTCTACAGCTGGAAGTCTACCCTTCCATCACAGTATGCAGGACGCCATGGCTAGACTGAAAGCTTTTGTTTTTTGGAAATAGGGTCTTGTTGCCAACCGCAGTGGTGTCATCACAGCTCACTGCAGCCTCGACCTCCTGGGCTCAAGTGATCCTCTGCCTCAGCCTCCTGAGTAGCTGGGACTACAGGCGTGTACCACCATGCTCAGCTAATTTTTTAAAGTTTTAGTAGAGACAGTATCTTGCTACGTTGCCCAGGATGGTTTCAAACTCCTGAGCTCAAGCAATCCTCCCACCTTGGCCTCTCAAAGTGCTGGGATTACAGGTGTGAGCTACCATGTCCAGCCTGAAAGCTAATTTTTTTAAAAAAAAAAAAAAGATTTTTGAGATGAGGTCTGGCTCTATTATTGCCCAGGCTGGAGTGCAGTGGTACGATCTCAGCTCACTGCAGCCTTTGCCGCCAAGGCTCAAGCAATCTTCTCACCTCGGCCTCCTGAGTAGCTGGAACTACAAGCATGCATCACCACACCTGGCTAGTATTTTGTATTTTTGCAGAGACAGGGTTTCACCATGTTGCCCAGTCTGGCCTCAAACCTGTGAGCACAAGCAATCCGCCCGCCTCAGTCTACCAGAATGCTAGGATTGCAGGCATGAGCCACTGTGCTGGGTCAAAGCTGATTTGACAGACTAAGGTAGTCTATAAAATTTCCCAACCATGGTGCCATAAATAGATCATATGTATAAAGACACACCAATTTCTTTAGAGCTGAGGTGGGCCTGGCCAGTCACTTCTGGTTACAAGCAGCCTTAACAGCTTATCCTGGTGTGCCTGTTTATCCCTGTGTCATACAAGTGTCTGTTTCACAAGATGAAAAGGTTAGGAAGCACTCATCTACAGCAGTCCCTTATTTCATATTGTTTTGAGACAAAGTCTCACTCTGATGCCCAGGCTGGAGTGCAGTGGCATGATCTCAGCTCACTGCAACCTCTGCCTGCCAGGCTCAAGAGATTCTCCTGCCTCAGCCTCCCAAGTAGCTGGGATTATAGGCATATGCCACTATCACACCCAGCTAATTTTATTTTCAGTAGAGACAGGTTTCACCATGCTGGCCAAGCTGGTCTCGAATTTTGGACTTCAAATGATCTACCAGTCACAGCCTCCCAAAGTGCTAGGATTACAGGTGGGAGCCACTGCGCCCCACCTAACATCCCTTATGTTAAAATCATCTTTATTCCTAATAATTTTTGTATACAAACTAAAAGTAAGTTTAGGACCCTAATACAGCTGTGGTTCTTAACTTTTGGGGAGTATTTATCCCTTTGAGTATCTGATAAAGCCAAAGAGCCTATCTCCAGAATAATGCACTACTATTTTTCATGCAATACAACTTCACATACAACTTGAGGGTTCCAGAATCCAGATTAAGTCTCTGTTCTGGAAGGATTATCACACAAACCCACATTTACTTATTTCCGAATCTGCTTCCCCTCTGCCCTTTCTCTAATAAAACTTCAAAAAAACCAGAATATTGTCAGACCGGGCATGGTGGCTCATACCTGTAATCGCAGCACTTTGGGAGGCCAAAGCAGGCAGATCACTTGAGGTCATGATGGAGTTCAGAACAGCCTGGCCAACGTGGTGAAACCCCGTCTCTACTAAAAATATAAAAATCAGCTGAGTGTGGTGGCAGGCACTTGTAATCCCAGCTACTTGGGAGGCTGAGGCAGGAGAATTGCTTGAACCTGGGCAGGGGAGGTTGCAGTGCACCAAGACTGAACCACTACACCCCAGCCTGGGTGAAACAGCAAGACTCCACCTCAAAAAAAAAAAAAAAACCTCTGAGAAACATACTACATCAAACTCCCTCAAAATCAACTCTAGGTGGTATTCCCTCAAACCCCTAGCTGCGTGGGGGTGGAGTGAGGAAGATATGCTCCTCACTGGCTCTAAGCACCATTTGCCCTTGTAGTATCAACCGCTGGTTGCTGGGAACCACCTGCAGGTAGAAAGCAGTTCTCTGCACACCTCCCATCGGGCCTGAATACGTTTTGGTTAGTGCCCGTAAGACCCCCAAGTAATCCTTCATACTGCAGTCTCCCTTCTCCACTGCAAGCACATGATCTTGGTCATGTGTATTAATCACTCCACAGTTGTCACTAAGGCAATGCTGTACATTTCCCATGAGGAAATGGGAGAAAAAGGAACATTTAAATCAATTAATTTCAGCAGCATCTTTATTGCAACAAAGAATCTGTAATAAAATGCAACAGAACTAATGTTTCACTTTACATGATTAAAAGCCATATAGCTAAAAATGAAAAAACCCATAAGCTTACTGGAGTGAGACATGCAATTCTTTTTATACAAGTTAATGCTTAAAACAGCAGGCACTTTATGTTCTAAAATTAAACTCCTGAACTCCAATTCTGATGAATACAATATAAATTTGTTTTTGGGTTACTTAAAAACAAACATACAAACACTACTTTTTCTTTATCTGCAAAGGACTTAAGAAATGATTACCTAAAGCCCAGCACCTTGCACTAGCATCTCCATATGTGAGGCTGGAAGACGGATAGGTGAGGCTGGGTGAGACTGGGAAGGTGGAAGTCAAGAAAGTTTCCTTTTTCCTTTATATCTGCTGGGAATAGACACTCACCTTATATAGTTTAGAAATGGCCATGTCTCTTTTCTTACATCAAGGAGCTGTAAGATGGGCTCCCAGGCTTAAGCAAGCACTCTACTCTATATTCCAATCCTCAAATCCCCCACTATACCAAGGAAGACACATTTAGTGCAGTGATTTTAATTAACTTCAGAATGTCATATACTAATTACAAGTACTGCTTCATTAATAAGCATGCTTAGCATTTACTTTGGAATGGAAAAATTAACCATTTTTATATGGTTACCTTTAAAATGTTTTATAGGAATATATTAATAAATATTTCTTTAAAAATTTACCTTTTCTACATATCATTTAACTACCATGAGGCAGGACACCTGGCTGGGTCCAGCACCAACTGGATACTAACTGGCTGTGTGGTCATGGGTGTATTTCCTCCTCTCTCTCTAGCATGTAGGTTGTTCTTCTAACAAATAAGAATATTAGATTACATTAAATCAAAGATTAATTCCATCTTGAAAAATACATGATTCAATGACAGATCTTATAGGAAACATTCCACCTGAAGAGAACTATGCTACAGAAAGGTAAGCTATACTTCCTGGAAGGAATAAAACAAGTAATAAAAAAAAAGTAAGCATCAGCATCAATATTGCATTCTTTTAAAAGGTAATGCATGCATTGTGACCTGATCCTCTTGTATTAAGCTTTGGAAAAGAACTAGGAATGGCATAGAGGGAAAAACCTTCATTCCAAAACGAATCTCCAGACAAAGGGGAAGAAACAAAGTAAGTAACTTCTGCTGCTTTCAGAGTGAGAAGGGGCCAAATAGTTATCACAGATGAGCAGCTTCATGGACTACTGTTTAGGTTCTTGTCAATCAGTCCAGTGTAAAAATCACCTATTATTAATCCAACTCCATTCTCTATAGAAGAGTTTCTTAAAGTTGTCCATAGATTACTTACTGTAGGATCGCCTGGAAAGCTTGTTAGAAATGCACATTCCTGATGTCTATCCAAATCAAAGGAATACAAATTTTTATTTATTTATTTGAGGCAGAGTCTCACTCTATCGCCCAGGCTGCAGTACAGTGGTGCGATCTCAGCTCACGGCAACTTCCGCCTCCCAGGTTCAAATGATTCTCCTGCCTCAGCCTCCCGAGTAGGTGGGATTATAGGCACACACATTATGCCTGGCTAACGTTTTCTACTTTTAGTAGAGACAGGGTTTCGCCACATTGACCAAACTGGTCTGAACTCCTGACCTCAAGTGATCCACCCGCCTTGGCCTCCCAAAGTGCTAGGATTACAGGCAGGAGCCACTGTGCCCAGCCTAGGAATACAAATTTTTAAGAGTGAGATTCAAAACTCTACATTTCTTTTAGTAAGTGCCCCAGATAAATCTTAGATTTTGAGTTCCACTACTCTATACCACTCAAGTAACTATCCCTCTTGATGGTTGTTCACGTGTACACATTTATCAAGTCTGTAAAAACCCAGTATGATATTTATACTAGTGCTTTTTGGCTCCCACTAAACTGTTGCTACTTTTATAGATTCTTGCCATTTAAGCTGTTACCCACACTCAGGGAGTACAAACTTTTAGTGAGATTTCTACTGATTGCCTCAATTGACTATGATATTTTCCACACTAGTTGTAAAAAGCAAATTCAGTCAAATTGTCTTTTTGTAAGTGAATTCATTCAGGTATTTTTTCCCACTAAAGAAGCAGAATGGCATTTAAGTGACTGGGAGTTATAATAGAAGGATTCTTTGTGATAGAAGGAAAGGAGAAGGGTAGATGCAAAAGGGAAACACCTGTGAATTCAAGAGTATACGAAGTTTTCTAAGTTTTTTTTTTTGGTAAAATAAGAGACGCCATTTTGAAGAAACAGCCTTAATGGGTAAGAGGTTTCCAAGGAGTAGCTGCTTAAAAGCTACTGTATACCATTTCTACTTTGCATATAATGATAGATCCCTTGAGACCAGTTAGTCCAAACAAAACAAAACAAAACAAAACAAAACAACCTCCACAGTGAAATATATACTTAAGTAGGAAAATACTTTCTTGGGGAAGAAAGTTACCCAAATCAATTTAATTTAACATTGAAAAAATATATAAACATATCTTGGCATGGGAAAATATCAAACATGAAAAGCAATACATATAAGACGGTAAGAAAAAGCGTGGTTATCTATTATACAGTATAAATACAAACAGCAAAACCCAATACCGTTCCCAATGACAGAACCATCAGGTCATCCTGCCATTTCTTCCCAATGACAGAACCATCAGGTCATCCTGCCATTTCTGGGCTTTCCCTACCTCCTATAAAGTCCACCTCTTACCAACAGTCAACCACCTTACTAATGGAGGCAATGCTCTCTATAGGGAAATCTATTCTCTCTGTAGTGATGGGAAAGAAATACAGCAAATTTTCTTAGAGTGTTGTTTAAAAGTATTGGTAATAACTTTCTAAACACTCAAGTGTGTGATAAAAAGCATCAAACTCATAGATGCCTTCCCTGTCACTGGTGCTAATGTGACCAACTTAGCACCCCGAGGGCATATCTCAATTAGCACCTGAAAGTCTATGAGCTCTCTTCATAGCTAAATGCTAGGGCTAACCAAGAAAAGTTCATGACCATTCAAGAAAACTGTTCATAGCCTTTAAAAACGAAGGGAAAAAAAGAGAGAGAGAGAGAGAGAGAGAGAGAGAGAGAGAGAGAGCGAGAGCGAGCGAGAGCGAGCGAGCCATGGCTTGCCAGGGATTAGTTTACGGTAAAGAGGTTATCTGTAAACCTCTGTATTTTAAGCTTACAATATCTAAATTATGTTCAAATAATTTTAATAAGATAAAGTTTAAATTGGTAAGATTTCTAAAATCAAGAGGAAGAATAAAAAAAAAAATTAGAATTACAAAAGTAACTCTAAGGAACTACTTTTCCTCCCCTGAATCATGTTACTCTGTAGCTGTGTTGGCAAGACAGTGATTTCTTGATTTCGGTTTCCTTAATATTCTAGTTGTTTAAATTTCACTTTCCAAACATCTTCATGACTATTTCTGTCAAAACTACTTCTGCTTAGTTCTTAATCAGGCCCTCACCACCTCTTCTCTCTGTCATTCCCCAAACCCATCTCCCCACCCCACTGTGATTCCTTTCAATCTCCTTAAAATTCAAGAATATTTTAATAAGGAAATACCAAATGGAAACTGGCACCACTAAATTTTCTGAAGAATTCTAGAGAATGTATACTTTTTCCTTTTCTTAAAGGAAAAAAAAAAAAACTTGCCTGCAAATATTTAAGCTCTAATCATTTGATTAAAATTTTTCTGCCTGTAATTATCAATATAATGACTAATTAAATCCATGCTACATATACAGTTACTAGCCTTTATGCAAAAGGAAAAGCCCACTCTGTCAATATCATTAAAGAAAAATGAGAATTATTTATACTAGATACAGATTAAATTGGCTAAAAACTGGTCAGAGCCAAAACAAGTGTCTTTAGGAGGCCACTAAGTTATCTTTGAAAAATCATTAATGAATGACTGGTTAAGTCAAGTTTAACAGTTATTAGTTCATAACATGCTGCATATGCCCAAGCAATGAAGCATAAACTATTCAATTACATTTAAGTGCTATCAAATCTGTAATTAGTCAGAGATTCTGAAACTGAACCAAACCAATCACTAATATCATCATATTTTAACAAACTCAAAAAGTATACTGTAAAAATACACTAATTAAGTTCATGAGGTTTGTAATGCTATTAAAAGTAAAAATAGGTTAGTATGAATACATGGTGCTAATGTTTTTGTTTTTTTTTTTTCCTAGTAATTCTTGTGGTGTCGCTCGGTCTCTCAGGAATATGTATCATTCAATTCTGAGCACATAGGGTTAAGGTATATGATTACTACCACAAGCCATAGACCCCTGCATGGCACCACATTTATTGTCAGGAATAGATGTTATGTGGCAGGTACCAAAATGTGATGATCAATTCTGTGTTTTCTATTGATTAAACCTCCTCTTTTGGTTAAATAGCCAGTGTATACCAGAATTCTACACAGGCCAAAATTATATCACTTTTAGAGCAGCAATACGTGATCCAAGGTTTTCTTGAAGGTAGTGCAAAAGATGCAGTTCATAATGTTCTCCAGACTCAGGAACTCTTATGCTGTGTCTCTCCTGAGGATAGATCTTACCAACAACAAAAAATAAAGATACAAAAAAAAAATTTAGTAATACATCTTCTTCCAAAGCTTTCCAGAGATTTTTAACAGGATTGATACTATGAAGCACAACCACCATGCAATATTGTAGAATAAATCCTATCTAAACACTCCTCTTGATTCCCTTATTTAACATTAGGCTTAATGAAGGATTTATCTGTGGACCAATGGTTCATTCTCTAAGTGTGGTCTACAGACTTTGAGAAGTCTTTAAAAGCTTTTCAAGGGATACACACCGTCAAAACTACTTTTAGAACAATACAAAGACATTATTTGCTTTACTCACTGTGTCAGCATTTACAGTGATGATGCAAAAGCAAAGATGAGTAAAACTGCCGGTGTCTTAGCATGAATCAAGGCACTATTCTTAAACTCCACTAGATGTCACAGCATTCCTCACCACCACACACTTCCAGTAAAAAGAAAAATGCCAGTTTCGCTTAAGTAGCAGTAAAAATTAGAATTAATATATTAAGTTACAATTCTTGAGTAGAAGTCTCTTTAATATTTTGTGTTTATGAAATGCGAATGCATAAAGCATCTGTGGTACAGGATGTCTCAAGGAGAAATACTTGTGTGAGTGAGTTGCAAGCTGAACTGCTGCTTTTTAAATGGTACTCCATTTTTTTTTTTTTTTTTTTTTTTTTTTTTTTTTTTCCTGAGACAGAATCTTGCTCTGTCACCAGGCTGGAGTGCAGTGGCACGATCTTGGCTCACTGCAACCTCCATCTCCCCGGTTCAAGCGATTCTCCTGCCTTAGCTTCCAAAGTAGTCAGGACTACAGGTGCACGCCACCACGCCCAACTAATTTTTGTATTTTTAGTAGAGACACGGTTTTGTGGTGTTGGCCAGGATGATCTCAATCTCTTGACCTCGTGATCTGCCCACCTTAGCCTCCCAACGTGCTGGGATTACAGGTGTGAGCCACCATGCCGGGCCTGGAACTCCATTTTCTTTTTTGTTTGAGATGGAGTCTCACTCTGTAGCCCAGGCTGGAGTGCAGTGGTGCAATCTTGGCTCACTGTAACCTCCGCCTCCTGGGTACCAGTTCAAGCAAGTCTCCTACATCAGTCTCCCAAGTAGCTGGGATTACAGGCATGAGCCACCATGCCCAGCTAATTTTTGTATTTTTTAGTAGATACGGGTTTTCACAATGTTGACGCAGTCTGGTCTTGAACTCCTGACTTCATGATCTGCCAGTGTCAGCCTCCCAAAGTGCTGGGATTACAGGCATGAGCCACTGCACCCGGCCGGAACTCCATTTTTAACTTCAAAGAATGACTGACAACTATGGTTATTTAGGGTATCTGGTAAATATTTTCTCAAAAGTGAATGAAATGAACTGGTCACTTCAAGGACAACACTGACAGTATTTGTTGCAATGATAAAACCTTGGCTTTTGAGTTATAATTTTGGAAAACTTGCATCTACTACTATTAAACTAATGAGCTTCCCAATACTTAAAGACACTTTTCTTATGAGATCAGTAGTATTACAATATGTGATTTTTTTTTTTTTTTTTTTGAGACGGAGTTTCGCTCTTGTTACCCAGGCTGGAGTGCAATGGCGCGATCTCGGCTCACCGCAACCTCCGCCTCCTGGGCTCAGGCAATTCTCCTGCCTCAGCCTCCTGAGTAGCTGGGATTACAGGCACACACCACCATGCCCAGCTAATTTTTTTGTATTTTTAGTAGAGACGGGGTTTCACCATGTTGACCAGGATGGTCTCGATCTCTCGACCTTGTGATCCACCCGCCTCGGCCTCCCAAAGTGCTGGGATTACAGGCTTGAGCCACCGCGCCCGGCAATATGTGATTTTTAAAATAGTGTACAATAAAAGGAGTCAACATTTGAAAGACTGGCATAACACAGTGAGCCAGTATTTTCCAGATGGCCAATACATGTGTAAAAGATCCATTTGAAGTGTAAGATCCACACTTTATTTTATTTATTTATTTATTTTTTTGAGACAGAGTTTCACTCTTGTTACCCAGGCTGGAGTGCAATGGCGCAATCTCGGCTCACCGCAACCTCCGCCTCCTGAGTTCAGGCAATTCTCCTGCCTCAGCCTCCTGAGTAGCTGGGATTACAGGCACGCGCCACCATGCCCAGCTAATTTTTTTTGTATTTTTAGTAGAGACAGGGTTTCACCATGTTGACCAGGATGGTCTCGATCTCTTGACCTCGTTATCCACCCGCCTCGGCCTCCCAAAGTGCTGGGATTACAGGCTTGAGTCACCGCGCCTGGCAAGATCCACACTTTAATGTGACAGAGTATAAAGTTTATAGATATCACTTCAGATTCCACATTAAAATCAAGCTTTAAGCCAGATGTAGTAGCCCATGCCCTGCAGTCCCAATTACTTAGAAGTCTGAGGTAGGAGGATTACTTGAGCTCAGGAGTTCAAAACTATAGCAGGCAACATAGTTAAGACTCTAGCTTAAAAAAAAATAAAAAATAAAAAACAACAAAAAAATTCCTTGGCTGGACATGGTAGCTCACCCTGCAATCCCAGCACTTTGGGAGGCCAAAGTGGGAGGATAACTTGAGCTCAGGAGTTTGAGATCAGCCTGGGCAACTTAGTGACACCCCAACTCTATTTATTTTAAAAAATATATTTAGGCTGAGTGCAGTGGCTCACGCCTGTAATCCCAGCACTTTGGGAATCACCTGAGGTCAGCAGTTCAAGGCCACCCTAGCCAACATGGTGAAACCCCATCTCTACTAAAAGTGCCAAAAAATTAGGTGGGTGTGGTGGTACGAGCCTGTAGTCTCTGCTACTCAGGAGGCTGAGGCACAAGAATTGCTCGAACTGGGGAGGCAGAGGTTGCAATGAGCCAAGATCATTCCAGCTTGGGTGACAAAGCAAGTCTCTGTCTAAAAAACAAACAAACAAACAAAAAACAAAAAAATTTATATAGAGACTATATTAAAAATATATGTTATCTATATATTTATAACAAGAAACAAAATCTCATAACCTTTAAGAAACTACCACTTGTCCAGTTTTGGTACAGTATCAAAGAATACCTACAATTACCTGAAAAGGCTAAAATATGCCTTTTATTTTTTGAGACAGAGTCCACTCTGTTACCCAAGCTGGAGTGCAGTGGCACAATGCTGGCTCACTGCAACCTCTGCCTCTGGTTTCAAGCAACTGTGCCTCGGCCTCCTGAGGTGCCCGCCACCATGCCTGGCTAATTTTTATATTTTTAGTAGAGAGGGGGTGGGTATCTCCGTGCTGGTCAGGCTGGTTTTGAACTCCCAACCTCAGGTGATCCACCTGCCTTGGCCTCCCAAAGTGCTGGGATTACAGACATGAGCCATGGCGCCCAGCCAATAGTTTATTATTTTAAAATATGTAAATTTCTCTCTCAGTTTTAATATCTTTTATGAAAAATATTGATATAATTGATATAAACAAAGTTCTTTGGTAGGTAAAGGTGTCCTAAAACCAAAAGGCTTAAAAATTGCTGCTATAGATAAATATCTCATAGTTTAAACATAAATATCACCTGAAATGTAAAAAAGAAAAAAGTAATTTTTTGATTTTTGAAGAGCACATAATCTGTTTAAGGAGTAAAACGCAATTTCAAGAAAAACTGGAATAATGAGCAATGAATAATGGAGCAATGGAGGAGCCTAACTTGCTGGTTTCTGCTCCAATGTCAATGTAAAATAAAAGAAAATTAAAAGACCATATAAACAGGTCCTAAAAATCCTTATGCAACAATGAAATCAAGTAGCATTTCCTCATTCTTCAAAGGGGATAAAGAAAAGCAAAGGAGAATAGTGAACGGACTGCTTGTCATCTTTTCCATGCTTCCAAACTGAAAGCAGATACAGACACAAAGTCATGTAATCTGATAGGCAGGTTTGACAGCCTGACTGCAACAGAATCTTAATTTTTATCCAACTACAGGCACTACTAACTATGCCTCTTATTTTACTTCTCTTAAGCAGAGGGTGAACACTCTAAAAATCTGGCTTTACCCCACAGTTAACAGATTTCAAAGTAATCAATCACTAATCATGACTACATTTAACTAGAAAATGTAAAAAACTCACCTGTAAGTCATATGGCTTTCCAGCCCTCACTAAAAAACTCAGTAATATACTGGTATGTGCAAAATGGACATTCTCATCCAGGAACCCATGTAAGAGCAGTAAACGGTTTGGTCTGAGAAATGGAAATATTAAAGGATTAGACAAAATAGTAGAGCATTTGGGAAAACCATTTCACTTATTTAATCATACTTAACCATATTAACTTCCTTATACTGTGATGTTAGAGTAAGGATTTAACATTTTCAGTATTAAATTTGTAACATACTAACCAGATGCCACATGTAATGAAAGATTAAAAAAAGATCATGTGTTCAATTTTTTATAAATAAAGTATTAGGGCACATGTATAATTATAGCAAGTCCCTAGAACTATTTGTAAAATATATTCAGGCAGACGTAAAAGTTTTCCACCTTGAAACAGTTGTGCACTTAACTTTTTTCAGCAAAAACAACTGCTTCAATTATAACCTGTAAAAAAGCATTATAAGAACTGACGTGTAATTCAGTTTTAAGAAACAGCCAGGCTGTTCTAGTATAACATATTCATCTTGGTTTTTCAGTATTTGAATTTTTCATCAGGATTAAAGACGATTTTTAAAAATACAATTTAAAATTTATAATCTTCACTTAAGCTTGAACTATGACGTGCCCAGTGGCCCATGCCTGCAATCCCAGCACTTTGGGAGTCTGAGGTGAGCAGATCACTTAAGTCCAGGAGTTCGAAACCACCATAGGCAACATGGTAAAACCCTGCCTCTACTAAAACTACAAAAAACTAGGTAGGCATGGTGGCACATGCCTGTAGTCCCAGCTACTTGGGGCTGAGACTGGAGGATCCTGAGCCCAGGAGTTTGACACTGCAGGGAGCCCTGATCATACCACCGCACTCCAGCCTTAGTGACAGAGTGAGACCTTGTCTCATTAAAAAAAAAAAGAAAGCTTGCACTTACTCAGAGGGGAACTTTTCTGCTTGCATGGCCACAGATCCTAAGTAATAGCCCTGTTCATTCTGGTCAGGATGACCCATGTAACGTTCCGTGTATCCTGTATCATAGAAGATCCACAGAGTGACTGGGGCCCCAGCAATAGCAACCTGCATAAGACGACATTGACAGTCAAGGGTGGTCTGGAAAAAGAGTGGCTAGCAGTGGGATCTTACAACTGCAAATTTACAGCTAGAATTATCCTTAAGCTTTAGCCTTACTACTGGGGCATACATGTCCTGGGCAACTCAGAAAACTGATGTGAAGTGCCAACGTCAAGAATTTAATAGTTTGTGAGTCAGTTTCATGTTCCACAGGCATTCTACATACCAAACCTTTAACCTGGGCTTGCTGAAATACAAAGCCAGGTCCTTTGTTAAAAGACGACTGAACTAGGCTGGGTGCAGTGGCTCACGTCTTATAATCCCAGCACTGTGCAAGACTGAGATGGGCGGATCACAAGGTCAGGAGATCGAGACCATCCTGGCCAACATAGTGAAACCCCCATCTCTACACAAAACACGCCTGTAGTCCCGGCTACTCACGAGGCTGAGGCAGGAGAATTGCTTAAACCCAGGAGGCGGAGATTGCAGTGAGCCAAGATCGTGCCACTGCTGGGCGATAGTGCAAGACTCTATCTTAAAAAAAAAAAAAAAAAAAAAAAAAAAAAAGACAACTGAACTACATCCTGCTGAGGAAAAAAAATGTCCGAGAAAACTGTCAGTTTTATGTAAAAAAGGAGCCATCTTTTTTTAAACCTCTGTTGGCAGTACAGAATTTAAAATAATATATCAAATATACTAAAAATGTGCCTCATTTTAAGGCTCCTATAATTTAATATTTAAGTATTCTAATTATTTTCACGGCTATAAGCTTGTAAAAATTATGGGAGTGGTTAGAATTTATTTATGGTTATTATAAAGCTTAACTGGATATATGTGCAAGAATAAAAATCTTATTGTTTTCGTTCTTAAAAATAAAAATTAAGGGTCTGGCCCAATGGCTAATGCCTGTAATCCTAGCACTTTAGGAGGCTGAGGCAGGTAAATCACCTGAAGTCAGGAGTTTGAGACCAGCCTGGCCAACATGGTGAAACCCCATCTCTACTAAAAATACAAAAATTGGCCAAGTATAGTGGTAGGCGCCTGTAATCCCAACTACTCGGGAGGCTGAGGCAGGAGAATTGCTAGAATCACTTGAACTGGAGAGGCGGAGGTTGTAGTGAACCAAGATCGTGCCACTGCACTCCAGCCTGGGTGACAGAGCAAGAGTCTGTCTCAAAAAATAAAAATAAAAAATAGGCCAGGTGCCGTGGCTCATGCCTGTAATCCCAGCACTTTGAGAGGCTGAGGTGGGTGGATCACGAGGTTGGGAGTTCAAGACCAGCCTGGCCAACATGGTGAAACCCCATCTCTACTAAAGATACAAAAAATTAGCCAGGCGTGGTGGCGCACGCCTGTAATCCCAGCTACTTGGGAGGCTGAGGCAGGAGAATCACTTGAACCCAGGAGGTGCAGGTTGCAGTGAGCCAAGACAGTGCCATTGCACTCCAGCCTGGGCGGCAGGGCGAGACTCCGTCTCAAAGAAATAAATTTAAAAAATAAAATAAAATAAAAATTTAAAAATTACTTTTCCCTGTAAAGTAAAATTATTACTGAAATAAAAAAAAAAAACACGATGCATAATTCCTACTCTCAATAATCGTTTATCATCCTTATGTATTTTCTTCTAGTACATTTTTCCAAGAGTTTGTTAATAGAATTGTAAGCATTTATACATTTTTTTTTTTTTTTTTTTTTTTTTTTGAGATGGAATCTTGCTCTGTCACCAGGCTGGAGTGCAGTGGCACGATCCTGGCTCACTGCAGCCTCCACCCCCTGGATTCAAGCGATTCTCCTGCCTTAGCCTTTTGAGTAGCTGGCATTACAGGCACGCACCACCATGCCTAGCTCATTTTTGTATTTTCTGTAGAGACGAGGTTTCACCACGTTAGGCAGAATGGTCTCGATCTCTTAACCTCATGATCTACCCGCCTAGGCCTCTCAAAGTGTTGGGATAACAGGTGTGCACCACTGCAGCTGGCCACATTTATACATTTAGTAATTCATTCATTTAACCCATCTGAGGGCCTACTATATGCCCAGCATTGTGCCTGACTGCTGAGGATACAGTGGTGTACAGAGCAAACAGGTCCCTGCCCTCATAGCTTGCAGTCCAACAATTAAACAAGTAATTACAATCCAACAGGTATGTCATGTGGGTTTTGCTAATCATAACCATCTTCCATACTTTTTGGCATGTATCTACAAACAGCCAATAACTAACTGGTTATCCAGCTGATGAATGTTTAAAAGAAAAAAACATACACACAAACATAAAAATTGAAGGCTAGCACAGTGGCTCACGCCTGTAATGCCAGCATTTTGGGAGGCTGAGGCGGGCGGATCACTTGAGGTCAGGAGTTTAAAACCAGCCTAGCCAACATGGTGAAACCCCACCTCTACTAAAGTACAAAAATTAGCTGGAAATCACCTGAACCCAGGAGGTGGAGGCTCCAGTGAGCCAAGATCGCACCACTGCACTCCAGCCTGGGTGAAGAGCGAGATTCCAACTCAAAAAAGAAAAAAAGCTTGGTATTTATATATATTTCACATGGCTCTTAAACATACAAACCCTAACATTCTACAATATTGCCAATTCTGTGCCAGGCATAGTGGCTCATGTCTGTAATCCTAGCACTTTGGGAGGCCAAGGCAGGCGGATCACTTGAGGTCAGGAGTTAAAAACCAGCCTGGCCAACATTGTGAAACCCCATTTCTACTTTAAAAAAAAAAAAAAAAAAAAAAGCCAGGCGTGGTGTCAGGCACTTATAATCCCAGCTACTCAGGAGGCTGAGACATGAGAATCGCTTGAATCTGGGGGACAGAGGTTGTAGTGAACCAGTATCACAACACCACACTCCAGCTGGGGCAAAACAGCAACACTTTGTCTCAAATAAAAAACAAAAACAAAAACAAAAAAACCAACCCTGTAAACCTTCAGGAAATAGATATTTCCACATATCCTCAATTTACAGAAAAATCTACCCTTATTGCAAAAATGAGTATAGTAGGAAGTCACATACCCTGAAAATATCTGACCTCTGCATTAATGCCATCAGGGAGAGGTATCCTCCATAGGACCAGCCGTGGATGCCCACACGATCTAAGTCAATGAAATCATATCGAGAAGCTAGATATTGGAGTCCTTCCACCTGATCATCAATTTCTATTTGACCCTGTCAAAAAAGGGAGAGCATTTCACTGATTCTGATGAATAAAAGTCTCATAAGAGTGCTTTTAGAGATAAATGTTTTTACAAAAAATACCCGTGGGTTTTATGATTTTAATTTTTATTTATTTATTTATTGAGATGGGAGTCTCACTCTGTCACCCAGGCTGGAGTGCGCTGGCACAATCTCAGCTCACTGCAACCTCCACCTCCTGGGTTCAAGCAATTCTCCTGCCTCAGCCTCCCAAGTAGCTGGGATTACAGACATGTGCCATCATGCCCAGCTTTTCTTATTTTCAATAGAGACAGAGTTTCACTATTGCCAGGCTGGTCTTGAACTCCTGACCTGAAGTGATCCGCCCACCTCAGCCTCCCAAAGTGCTGGGATTACAGGCATGAGCCACCACACCCGGCCCTGTAGGATTTTTAGAGTTTATTACCAACTGAGGTTCTATTGCCCTCCACCTCAAAATTTTTAAAAATCTATTTGGAGACAGGGGCCTATAACTTCCGTTGCTAGCTTGTCCTAGAGTTCAGTTACCACTTAGTCATAAAGCACCTTCCTACTGCTACTCAAACTGTCCCTTGCTATTTGGGTATTTCCCATTTCCATTTGTTCTGTTGTCTGCTAAGAGGTCAGCATCTTCCTTGTAACAAGCCTTCCTATACCCAAAGACAAAAATTAGCCCCTTAAGTGATTAATTTTACTTTTTACTTATATTTTTTGGAGACAGGGTCTCACTGTGCTGTCCAGATTGGAGTGCAGTAGTGTGATCACAGCTCACTGTAGCTCAACCTCCTGGGCTCAAGTGATCCTCCCACTTCAGCCTCCCAAGTGGCCAGGACCACACGTGTGCACCACCATGCCCAGCTAATTTTTTAACTTATTTGTAGAGGTGGGGTCTCATTATGCTGCTCAGGCTGGTCTTGAACTCCTGGGCTCAAGTGATCTTCCCGCCTTGGCCTCCCAAAGTGCTGGGATTACAGGCGTGAGCCACCGCACCTGGCCTACTTCTCCTTTTAAATTTTGAGAGCAGTAAAGCAGAAGGAATTGCTCTTGAGGCTCTATCTTCCTATTTCCCTATCATACTACCTCTAGGAACTGAACATACTACTTCTTTAAAGTCCTAAGTCCTAACACCACCACCTTGTCCATATTACTAGGCCTGCCAGTGCACACAATCTCACTTCACTGAGCCAAAAACAAAAATAAAAACAAAAAAACTTACATGAGAATACAACATAAGGTCAAAGAACTGGCTGTGGGAGAAAATCCCCATGTCTTACTCAGCATGTCCAATAACACTGGCAAACACAGTAACTGCCTTACTGTGCAAAAGGAACATCGGATTCTCATCATTTCCCAAAGCAGCAGAAAGGACATGGGGCATCTCTAAAAGGTAGCATTTAAAGCTTCCTGTAGAGAGAAAGAGGCTTGTCACAAGGAAGGCACTAACCAGTTGGATTCCCTCTTCACAGAGGACAGAACAAATCTCAATTATTCCTCAACAGTGTACAGGATGCTGAAAGGTAAATGGTACTAACTTCTACCCAAGTGGACATACAAAATAAGAGAGAGTATTTCTATGTACAAGTGGCTCTATCTCAATTCCCCAGAGTTACATATAGGTAAACGTGAGCTAGCCTAGTGTACATCAAGTTGCATCTTCTCTCCCACCCCTAAACTCTAAACACATACACACTTTCACTCACTCATTCATAGCCCCTTCCCCCAACTCTCTTTCCAGGGTTTCACACCAAACAATGCACCAGAAAATCTAAATGTCTGTAAAAGAAAAGTGTTTTTAAGCTCACACACCATTTTATATTTAAAGGCGCCTTCAAATTTAAGCCCTCGGTGGCAGGATCCCCTGTTGTCTATCACTACAACCACATAACCTAGAGAGGCTAGGGTATTCAAGCGAAAATACTTGACTCCTTTAAACCGATTATTCACCAACTGCACCTGAGGAAGAAACACAACTTCAGTGAAATTTATCACATGGAAGCATATAAAAACACAAGAGCGGCAAGGCATTGAAAAAAATAAAAAGCTGAATTTCACTATTATTTTACCTTTAAAATGTTTTGTTTTTTTTTTTTTGAGACGGAGTTTCGCTCTTGTTACCCAGGCTGGAGTGCAATGGCGCGATCTTGGCTCGCCGCAACCTCCGCCTCCTGGGTTCAGGCAATTCTCCTGCCTCAGCCTCCTGAGTAGCTGGGATTACAGGCACGTGCCACCATGCCCAGCGAATTTTTTGTATTTTTAGTAGAGATGGGGTTTCACCATGTTGGCCAGGACGTTCTCGATCTCTTGACCTCGTGATCCACCCACCTCGGCCTCCCAAAGTGCTGGGATTACAGGCTTGAGGCACTGCGCCCGGGCTTTTTTTTTTTTTTTTTTTGAGATAGAGTTTTGCTCTTGTTATCCAGGCTGGAGTGCAATGGTGCGATCTCGGCTCACCGCAACCTCTGCCTCCTGGGTTCAAGCAATTCTCCTGCCTCAGCCTCCTGAGTAGCTGGGACTACAAGTGTGTGCCACCACGCCCAGCTAATTTTTGTATTTTTTTAGTAGAGACGGGGTTTCACCATGTTGATGAGGATGGTCTCGATCTCTTGACCTCGTGATCCACCCGCCTCGGCCTCCCAAAGTGCTGGGATTATAGGCATGAGCCACCATGCCCGGCCAAAATTTAATTTTTTAAGTCATTTATTTTTAAATTAATTTAAGTCTTTTCATGTTCATGTTGCTTCTTGTTTAACTTGACACTAAAGTTCGGCGCAATTACTGAACAATCGTGGGCTTTAAAATTCTAACTTAGGGGCTGGGCACGGTGTCTCATGCCTGTAATCCCAGCACTTTGGAAGGCCCAGGCAGGCAGATCACCTGAGGTCAGGAGTTTGAGACCAATCTGACAAACATGGAGAAACCCCATCTCTACTAAAAATACAAAATTAGCCGGGCATGGTGGCAGGCACCTGTAATCCCAGCTACTCAGGAGGCTGAGGCAGGAGAATCGCTTGAAACCGGGAGGCAGAGGTTGTGGTGAGCCGAGATCGCACCATTGCGCTCCAGCCTGAGCAACAAGAGCAAAACTCCGTCTCAAACAAACAAACAAAAAAACCAAAAAAAAATTCTAACTTAGGGCTGAGCACAGTGGCTCATGACTGTAATCCCAGCACTTTGGGAGGCCAAGGTGGGCGGATCACCTGAGGTCAGGAGTTCGAGACCAGCCTGACCAACATGGTCAAACCCCACCTCTACTAAAAATACAAAATTAGCTGGGTGTGATGGTACATGCCTGTAATCCCAGCTACTTGAGAGGCTGAGGCCGGAGAACTGCCTGAACCCAGGAGGTGGAGGTTGCAGTGAGCCAAGATCACATTTTTGCACTCCAGCCTGGGCAACAAAAGCAAAACTCTGTCTCAAAAAAACAAGTAAAATAAAAAATAAAATTCTTAGATAGTAATTACATATAAGTAAATCAACCCACCCCATATAAAAAGTTACTAAACTGATTACTCCCACCCTGAAGAACTGTTATTCAAATGACAGTTACAAGGACAAATTAAGAAAACCTTTCCTTCCTACTTCTGGAGTTGTCTCTGACCAGTAGTGGGAAACAGTATTTTAATGGAATATTCTAACTAGTCCAGACAAAATCAGTGTAAAGGTAGGATAATTTTTAAATAACTTTTTTTTTTTTTTTTTTAAGACAGGGTCTCACTCTGTCATTGGGGCTGAAATGCAGTGGCACAATCATGGCTCACTGCAGCCTTGACCTCCTGGGCTCAAGCAATCCTGCCTTGGCCTCCCAAGGAACTGGGACAATAGGCGCTTGCCTCCATGCCTGGATAATTTAAAAAATTATTTCTCTAGAGATAGGGTCTCACTATGTTGCCCAGGTTTGTCTTGAACTCCCGGGCTCAAGTGATCCTCCCACCTCAGCTTCCCAAAGTGTTGGGATTAGAGGCATGAGCCACTGTGTCCAGCCTGAAGTCACTTTATCACCCTACAGACTATAGTTCAGAATGACTGATAAGTTAAATTCATTTTAGTGTTTTACAGTATCTAGTGAAAAGAGGACTAGAATTAGCAAACAGAAAGTTATAGAAATTCAAGGTTTGGTGGACATTAAGATATTAAACAAAAAGAGGTTCTAATAAAAATGAGAAAGATGTTTTCTCAGCTACAACCAATGGAAAAAACAAGTCAGCCAAGAGTTGAATAAGAATTAACACCATCTCCAGCCAATAAATATCTACTAAACACTTACTAGGCTAGATTGTATGAGGAGGAGGGAGAGTCTTCCCATTTTGCACTTTTGGATGTTTAATACTACTGCAACAACTACCAAACTAGTCTTCCTACTTCTGTTCTTGCCTTCCTTTTTTTTTTTTGAGACGGAGTCTCGCTCTGTCGTCCAGGCTGGACTGCAGTGGCCCATTGTCGGCTCATTGCAAGCTTCGACTCCCTGGTTCAAGTGATTCTCCTGCCTCAGCCTCCCGAATAGCTAGGATTGCTGGCACACACCACCACACCCAGCTAATTTTTTTTTGTATTTTTAGTAGAGATGGGGTTTCACCATGTTGGCCAGGATGGTCTTGATCTCCTGACCTCATGATCTGCCCGCCTTGGCCTCCCAAAGTGCTGGGATTACAGGAGTGAGCCACTGCGCCTGGTCTGTTCTTGCCCTCCTAAGGTCTGTTTGTTCATGCAGTAACAGAGTGATGTTTTAAAAATGTACATCATTTGGTTCAATTCATTCATTTCAGAGAAAAACAACAAAAAAATGTACATCAGACATGACTGCTGCTTGGCTTCCTCCATTGGTTACCATTACCCTTCAGAATAAGTCTACATGGCTCTTGAGATTTTTTTTTTTTTTTTTTTTTTTTAGATGGGGTTTCACCATGTTAGTCAGGCTAGTCTTGAACTCCCGACCTCAGGTGATCTGCCCGTCTTGGCCTCCAAAGTGCTTGGATTACAGGCATGAGCCACCATGCCTGGCCAGTCCTTGAGATCTTTGGCTACATCTGACCTCATCTCATACCATTTCCCTCCATATGCACTGTACTCTAACCAAGTTGGTTCTAGCCCCAGGACCTTGACATTTATTGTTCTCTATGTCTGGAATGCTATTCCCTCATATCTTTTGCATGGCTCATTCCTTCTCAATGTTTATAGCCTCAGGTGAGGTCTTGCCATCCCCTTTCCCAGCAAATCTTCATAGCACTTCCATTATAAAAAGTCATACTTCAGGCCGGGCGCGGTGGCTCATGCCTGTAATCCCAGCACTTTGGGAGGCCGAGGCGGGTGGATCACGAGGTCAAGAGATCGAGACCGTCCTGGTCAACATGGTGAAACCCTGTCTCTACTAAAAATACAAAAAATTAGCTGGGCATGGTGGCGCGTGCCTGTAATCCCAGCTACTCAGGAGGCTGAGGCAGGAGAATTGCCTGAACCCCGGAGGCGGAGGTTGCGGTGAACCGAGATCGCACCATTGCACTCCAGCCTGGGTAACAAGAGCGAAACTCCGTCTAAAAAAAAAAAAAAAAGTCATACTTTTAGGCCACACATGGTGGCTCACACCTGTAATCCCAGAAATCTGGAAGGCTGAGGCAGGTGGATCATCTGAGGTCAGAAGTTGGAGGCTAGCCTGGTCAACATAGCGAAACCCCGTCTCTACTAAAAATACAAAAAATTAGCCGGGCATGGTGAGGTGTGTCGTAGTCCCAGCTACTTGGGAGGTGGAGGCATGAGAATCACTTCAACCCAGGAGGCAGAAGTTGTAGTGAGCCAAGATCACACTACTGCACTGTAGCCTGGGCAACAGAGCTAGACTCTGTCTCAAAAACAAAAAAAAAGTCATACTTTTTTTTTTTTAAAGATGGGGTCTCCCAGGCTGGAGTGCAGTGGCACAATCATAGCTCACTGTTGCCTCAAATTCTTGGGCAAAAGTGATCCTCCTACCTCAGCCTTCGAGTAGCTGGGACTACAGGTGTACACCACCATGCCTAGCTTTTAATTTTTTTTTTTTTGGTAGAGATGGGGTCCCACCATCATATCTTTTTATGTTTGCTTATTCTTCTTCCTTTATAGTTCATAAAATGCAACATTAGTCTGACATGCTCACTGTGCATCCTCACGGCCTAGAAAAGTACCTAGCACATCATAGGAACTTAATACCTATTTGCTAAATGAATGAATGAAAAAGAAAAATGAGAGAATCATGTTTTTTACATTTTACCTTGGGAAAAGGGCGTCTGGTGAGTAAAAGCACTTTTATTTTTTTATTTACTTAAGAGATGGTGTCTTACTCTGTACCACAGGCTGGAGTGCAGTGGTACAATCATAGTTCACTACGGCCTCAAACTGGGCTCAAGTGATCCTTGGACCTCGGCCTCTGAATAGCTGGGATTACGTATGTGTGCCACAGCATTTGGCTAATTTGTTTTTAAAGGAAGAGTGCTGAAATAAGTACTAGGCAGAGAAGAACACAAATAGGAACACTTAAATGAAACCACCTCACTTCTTTGTTTGCTACCATGTGTAGAAGATGGTCTCAATTACTTGATATGAACACTTAAATATAATGCCTTTTGGCATTAAGAATCCAAAAGTCTCCTTCAGTATCAATTCTTTTTTTTTTTTTTTTTTTTTTTTGAGACAGTTTCGCTCTTGTTACCCAGGCTGGAGTGCAATGGTGCGATCTCGGCTCACTGCAACCTCTGCCTCCTGGGTTCAGGCAATTCTCCTGCCTCAGCCTCCTGAGTAGCTGGGATTACAGGCACGTGCCACCATGCCCGGCTAATTTTTTGTATTTTTAGTAGAGACGGGGTTTCACCATGTTGACCAGGATGGTCTCGATCTCTCGACCTCGTGATCCACCCGCCTCGGCCTCCCAAAGTGCTGGGATTACAGGCTTGAGCCACCGCGCCCGGCAAGTATTTGTTAAATGAATG